TTTTTTTTGCAGTTTTTGGCCAGGGCTGGGTTTGAACCCACCACCCTCGGTATATGGGGCAAGCACGCTACTCACTGAGCCACAGGTGCCACCCTTCAGTGAGTATTTTTTTTTTTTTGTACAGACAGAGTCTCACTTTGTTGCCCTCAGTAGACTGCTGAGGTGTCACAGCTCACAGCAACCTCCAACTCCTGGGCTAGGCAATTCTCTTTCCTCAGCCTCCTGAGTAGCTGGGACTACAGGCGCCCACCAGAACACTTGGCTATTTTTTGGTTGCAGTTTAGCTGGGGCCGGGTTTGAACCCACCACCCTCAGTATATGGAGCCAGCACCCTACCCACTGAGCCATAGGCACCGCACTACAGTGAGTATTTTCTCTTGAAATTTCCCAACTCAGTTAGGAAAGGCCCGCATTTTTCTCGTATCAGTAGTGTACTACATTCTTTTCCTGGCTGCTCCCACTAGATTGCATTAAATAGCATCACTTTTGAAAATTTCAGGCTCACACCCCTAATTCCAGCTCTCTGGGCTATGGAGGTGGGAGGATCACTTGAGCTTAGAGGAGTGATCTACTAAAAATAGAGAAATTTGTCAGTTGTAATGGCAGGCACAGGTAGTCCCACTTATGGGGAGGCTGGGGCAGGAGGATCAGTTGAACTGAGGAGCTTGAGATTGCTGTAACTGAAGCTGCTTGCCACAGCAGTCCACCTGGGTAAGAAAGTGAATGGTCCAAAAAAAAAAAAAGTTTGCGTAAAACCATTTAGTTAAATTTCCTAAAATATTTGTTAACAATAGAATCTAAATTATTAGTGTAGATATGTTTATAACATATTACATATGATTAAATAATTTTTTGGAGGCTGTCTCACTCTGTTGCCTTGGGTAGAGTGTGTGGCATCATCATAACTCATAGCAACTTCAAACTCAGGTTTGAGCAATCCTCTTGCCTCAAGTTCCTGAGTGGCTGGGACCACGGGAGGTTGCCACAACACTCAGGAGGATTCACATTTACCTCTTGGCACTGTA